GGCTGCGCTCTGGCGTGCAGCTCCAGGGTGAGCTTCACCCACACCACCCCAGCCAACAGCGCGCCAGGGCTTCAGCCCTTAATCTGTGGAGTCAGAGGGGAGAGGAAGGAGGCTAATGCGCTTGTGCTAAGCGCAAAAGCGCTGGGGTTCAGCTGCTGGAGTTCTCTCCGTGGCCCACTGACAGGGGCTGGCTGCAGGCAGCACACCCTGGGTGCCCCTTGCCCCAGCCCCACCAGCCTGCCCACGGCCCCGTGCTGCGCTGGGGGACAGGTCTCCCCCGACCCCAGGCTGGCTTCTTGCCTAGGGGAATACTTCAGGCCACAGGTAAAGATCAGAGCGGCACGGTCGCCCCTCCAATATCCCCCTCGGGCGAGTACCAAGAGCTGCTAGGACAGCTCAGCGCCCGCTGCGCAGCCCGTCCTTCCCCTGGCAACCCGGCACCTGCAGCCTCTGCTGCTGCGCCCCGGCCGTTCCCAGGGCCGTTGTTTGATCGGTCATTAGGGGCCATCTGCTCCACACAGCTCATCTTCGCTGATCCCCGGGGTACCCCGAGGAGACGGGTTTCCCTGGAGAAAGACCTGCTGAGCTGACGCTGCAGGGAGAGGACGCAGGCGGCAGGGAGGGTTTTTGCTCTTGCCCGTCCGAGAGCAGCAGTTGTGCCGGGGAGGCAAGACCCAGGCTCCGCACGCAACCCCTCAGCGGCCACCCAGCCCCAGCCCCGGCCGCCCCCCAACGGTGGGTACAACGTACATATGTGACAGCAGGAGCAGTGGCGGGGACCCACACCCCTCAGGCTCCATCCTGCTCACGGGGGTCACGTGAAGGACCCCGTGGAGAGGACGCGCATCCTTGAGACTCAGCCCAACCATCGATTCAGGCCAGGACACGGCACGTGAACTGGCGAGGCCAGGACACGTGTGGCGGGGATGCTGTCTGAAACCAGCCCGCTGCTCCCTGGAAGTGACAGCCCCTCCGGGCACCTCGGCAGAAGCAGTGGCTCCGCGCAGCGCGTGCCCCGGTGCTGTGTGCCGCTCCTGGGGCAGCAAGACTTGACCAGCTCGCAGAGGCACCACACCGTCGCCATCTGTGCCATAGCACCAGCTCCCGATGCTTGGCTCCCACCCTCTTCCCCGTGTATTGAAGAATCGGCCGGTCCTGGGGAGCCCGGCGCGACCACGCAGCATAGCCGACAAGCTAAGGGACAGGGAGTGTGAGAGCAATTATCTGATGATGATGACTTTGCAGTGCAACACAGCTCAGAACCAAAACCAAAGCGCAACAGAATAAAGAAACTTCCCGGCCAGCATCAGGAAGGTGAGAGGAAGGGTGAGGAGGGAGATGGGCTGGCAGAGGAGAGTGGGGTGCCCAGGCTGCACGTGTGCCTTTGAGAAGGATGCACGCACCCCCAGAGATAAACACCTTCCCCGCTCCCCAATCTCCTGCATATGCAGAGCCATACTCTTTCATGTGAATCTTTTAATTCCATTAAAATGCCTGGAGGGATTGTGCTCCGGCGCACACACACGCGCGCACGCACACACACCACATTCACATTTGGAAGGCGTCCAAGGCTGGAAGATGCTGCCCAAAAGGGTGACTGGCTCAGAAACGCACGAGTGCCTGGAAACAGGTGGTTTGCATGGAAATGATCTGACAGCTGCGACACGTGGCAGATCCCAGGCAAAAGATGATGAAATCCCATTTAAAACTAGATTTTAGAAATAATCTCCTCCTTTTTTTCCTAAACATACTCTGCCAGAGCAGAGAATAAATCCCAGGCACGCAGGGACACCGTGGAACCGCTCCGAGAAACCCGATTTCTGTGGCGGTGGTATTACTCCCCCATCCGCGGTTCACATCTTGCTGCCATTGCTCTCTCCCGCCATGCGTGTGGAGCCGTGCTCCTGTGGGCCGGCCGTGCTGCTGACGGTAGGTATGAGTGTATGGGCGCAAACGGATTCGGCAGCAGGAACCTCCACAGTCTCACCCATAAAAGAGGGGAGGAGCTGGTCCTCCCTGGGCTGCGTGGCCGGCACATGGCCCTCGGCACCCATCCTGTCTGCAGCGCACAGGCAGATGGAGCCGCAGGCGTGAGCTGGGCAGCGCAGCTCCCAGGACACGAGGGACACCGACGAAAACATGGAGCAGGAGCAGAGCCCGTTGATGCACCAGCTCCTGCTCTGCCCGCCCCGCGGGCACCCTTTCCAGCCCGGCCATCCCCGGTGCCTGCCCGCTGCCTTCCCACGCTGCTCCGACTCCTGGGCAGCGACAGCCTGCAGGAGAGCGCCGAGCCCAGCAAGCTCTGGGGAATTT